AAAAAAAAAAAAAAAAAAAGTGGGGTTGTTTGAGAAAGTTTTTGATTAAGGTTCAAGTAATTTTCGATAAAAGATGATGAATATAAGTTGTTTAAATATAAGTTGATCAAACAAACACTACCTAAATGCCTTTTGCAATGGATTATAAGTTGTTTAAATATAATTGAGTAGCATTTGTGAATATTTAGTAATAAAAAGATCGATGTTTTGACTAATCTAATTTAAAATTTAAATAACCCCAAACATGAGCAAAATTTTAGTAAATAGAGAAAAAAACTGTCCGTGCACTTTATTGAACTATTGAAAGAAGGTTTTGAAGACAAAATTCAATTTTTACGTTTGATGTGGGTATTACAACTACATTGCTCTTATAATTCAAGGGTGTAACAGGTTAGGTTTGGAGGGTTTATAACATATTTTCAAATTAAACTGTTTAAGAAAATTTAAATCTAAATCAAATTGGTTTTAAGTTTTAAATTGCATATACTTTTCTTCCTACTTGCTCTGACGTTATTAGTTGAGTTATTAAAATTATTTTTCTACTTTAATGACGATGAAATAAGTAAACTATAAATTTAAACACCAACAAAATTAGTAGGACTTAGAGTTTCATATTAAAATGTCAATATTGTCATCCAGTCCATGTAGAATTTATTCCTAAACATGTCACGCGGATGGTGACTTCTTTGCAAACCATTAGTTTTTATTCCATAAATTATAGGTTTAGAGAGAGTAAGTATAGGATTTATGAAGTTTACTCCATAAAAGAATCATTAACTTGATAATTTCTATATTTTAATTCGAAATAGAGATATTGGAATCAATTTCTAAGATGAATTTTTATCCGACACTTGAGGGGCGGGGCGGGGCGGGGCGGGGCGGGGGGGGGGATAAAATTACATTAGGGTTCTTGCTTATAAACATGAAAAATTAATTGGAGATAACTAAGTTTTTGAGAATCATATTTGATAGTTATGTGAAATCATTCCCTAAACTTTTTCATCTTGATTAAATTCATATAATTTGTATTCATTGAATTCATCACCAAAATTATCGTTAGATTAGTTAACAATATTGATCCATAACTCATTCGTCTAGATAAAATAAAAGTTACATAATTATAATACTTAGTACAAAATAAAATTAAATTACAATCCATGTGGGTTCGATACTCTTAACTCTATTACTATATTACAAAATTTGACACCTTACACTTGCGGCATAAATCACAGTATAGAAAACGTGTGACAACCACGTAAATTATCGACATTGAATTCAAATTATTTTTTTCCATCCATTGAAATTTATGCAATTATATTTAAATATTAGTTGCACGTGTTGCTTTAGTTCTTCCTGCAGATCTACCAATGAACCAAACGCAGTCGCAGAAAAGGATTTATATAGCCGATTCCAAATTTCATTGGTAAAAAGGCTGAGTTTGTTTTGTTTTATATTCATTACACATTATGTCCAGCTAGTTGCGACGAGAGATTCTCTCTCGAAGAGCAACAATGTTCCATATTACATTGATTTCAGAACAGTGATTTGAAACTGTTTCAGACCGCTTTAATGTCCAGAACAGTTTTATACCATTCTTGCTCATTAAATAAAATATTTGTTTTCAATTATACCCAAACATATTTTCTTGAAGTCGACATTTTGAGACACAAATGTGCTGAGAGCAACACATATCACACAAGGCACCTAAAGCCACTTGGTCACACTAGAAAGTAATCAGGCTACATGAAATCTTTGGCCACAGAGACTTCCGGCATTTGCTTAATCAGACAGAAAACTATTGCACGTATATAATTACTAAGGATGGTAATGAAAATATATAAAACTGAAATATGAATTAACCATGTTCATATGGAGCAGTCACACAAATAAACATATTCAAATACTTACTTCCAAACCAAACAGTCAATAGATGGATTATACTTTGCTCGGCCAGATGTCACCTGAAAACTTGTTTTTGCTGTTTGTTTCGGTACTGGAACCTTAACAACCACTCCAAGCGCAAACATTTTTGCCCCGAAAACACTCTTCACCTGATGAAGTATGACTGTTTTAAACTCATGGCACATCACAGACAATAATAAACATATCAAAGTAAGATGTCTAACCTTAACATTCACTTCCATGCGTGTCCTTCCCAATTCCTTGATAGTTGGCAGTACCCGAAATGGAAGATTTACTCCCTCCGTAATACGATACCTATGGCAAAGCATTTATGATTGTAAGAGGAGCACTTGTGTAAATTGGTATGCAAAAAGATGGGGACGTACCTAATGGCAATTCAAACACAGAGGGATATAGTGAGCAAAATATAGCAGTGTCAATATGCAATGCATAAATATAAGCGATACATAATCAGTTTACTTCATATTATGCAGATGCAGATTCTGAAATATATGCTAAAGGCATTGTGATAAAGATTCTCCGAAGCAAAATATTATAGCTTTAACAAAAATGCATTCCACTATAATCAAGGATTGATAGAGATAGGAAACAAAACAATCAAGAATTTTTTTTTTTTAAACAAAATTATGACGGCGTTAAAAAGTACAACCCACTGAAATTAAGCGTTGACACAAATTGCTGGGATACAAAAATTCTAAAATAACCATACTAATGCACGTGGTGGTATATTTCTCTGCATCCTATTCAGTTCAAATCTCAACTCTTGGAAACCCCATCTTCTCCCCATAATTTTAAAGATTATCTTCATTCCCATAATTACCGTGTAATAATGGGCAAAGTCATCCTCATCTCTCACATCCCATGACCCATACTTCTGGTGATATCTCTAGGCTCCAGCAGATCACTTTGGGGGTCACACTTGCATTAGTTGTGCCTCTCATCATAATGCAGGTTTCTTCCTTCTGGTTTAGTTGGCCTAATTATTATCATGCATTGTAATCCGAAGAAACCACCCCAAGGTTGTGAAGCTTTCTCAATCAGCAAATCCATCAATTATTCATATTTGGACCATCACTTGCAGAAGTTAATTTGAATTTGGGTTCCCAACCTTTTTTCTTTGCGTCTAACTCAACCTTCCATTTTGAGTATCAGGTTCATCCTTTTTCACGGTTTCCGCACAACCTAGTTGTTAGATTTGCTGAAAAGGCTATACCCTCAAATTCAAATAAGCAAAGAAATAAATATGAAAAGGGGAGAAAAAGATTGAAGAAAACAAAATTAAATAAATCATCTTCTCTTTACTCCCACCGCTCATCCTCCTAGCCCTAGCAACCCCTGCCCTCCAGTCTAACCTTGTCTTCACTTGACTTCAGATCAAAAGACAATAAATTTCTCTTAAAGTATTTGTGCTTAGGCATTGAAACTCTACCCAGATTTACAATTATACACCTGATCTTGTCAAAACAACTGTTGGTTCGATCATCTTCAAAGGAGGGAGAATGCATCTCTTCTTGGTTTGCAATTTCAAGAAATTTTGAGAATAGTTGTTGAGGATAGCATTAAGAAGGCGATAATTTCTGCCATACAGAAAATGACAGAAAGCCTCACAGAACCGAAGTTGGAGGTAGATTGCGGTTCTCTCTCCATCCCTCTCCCTTTTATTGATCTACGGATGCAAAGTGATGATCTGTCCAAGGGATGGAGGAAGGGGAAGAGCAACTGAAGGTAGGGGCAGGGAAGGAGGGGAAGGACAACTGAAAAGAGCCTCTGAAGGAGAGGGGCATGGGGAATCTGCTGAAGGGGGATGGCCAGAAAGTGGGGTGCAGCAGCTGCGGAAAATTTTCACAAACCAATTAGTTACCCTCATTGATACTACGAAAATTTCCCAAGAGACCAGATCATTTCAAAACCCCTTATGAATCCATGTCAACCCTGCTCATCAGTCCAATTTAAACCCCCTTGCATTCAACTTTAATGAAGCTGCCCTTTATCATTTAGCATCCTAGCAAAACTCGAAACAGTTGATTTCAGAAGCCTGATTCGCATTATATTTGTGGATGTCCATTACAAGAAACATCCAATAAAAGCTACAGGTACCAAATTGCTTTGAAGACCGTCAATGAACTGGTTATGACAGATAACTACATTTTTCTAACTATTTGCAAGACCATAAAGCACAATATACTTTCTCGTTCTTCCTGATGATCAAGGCTGAAATGAGATGAAAATCTACTCCACCACCCTTGTAACAAAAAAAATTGATGACAGGTGCTACAACTACTCCAATTTGACATATCAACAATATACAGTTTTTGATATGGGAGGTGAAAGCTGAATAAATATCTTTAATGGACTTCCGTACAATATTTATGTAATGTACAAGGTGTTTGTACAACAAATTTGTCTACGGAAGGGCATTCAGAAAGAAAAAGAATAAAAATATGCACTACTTTACTTCTCCATTAACCTGAATCACATTAAAAATAAAAATAAAAAGGAATAGAAACATAATCTTACTTCATTAATTCAAATTCGCCATCTGGAGGAACAAAACTAACAGTCTTTTCTGAGTTGAATCTTGTTAGATTGACACACTGGTGGAAAGTTACATCATCAAGCTCGATTGTTTTTCCACTGCACAAGCAACATGATTTATAATAAAGTTGTTAGGAAACGGAACCAACCATGCAGACTCTCAAACTACACAGGAAGAATAACCAGAAAAGGCTCGACTTCAATGTGAGCCTATCTGTAAAGTAAATCTTATAGATACAGATCAGCTGATGCATAGTTGTGGCTATCAACAAAAAAGAGACAATGTGAAAGATACACGAATGGTTGCCTAGATGTCATTTATTGCATGTCACTAGGTAGTACACTCTGACAAACTTGACAACTGCACATTACTAGCAAGTACACCAAGATAAAATAATTGAAAGTAATCTCATGAAGATAAAGAAAGCTACACTTTACGAATACGGGTGGTAACACGGGAGCAAGTTAAAGTATGGGAAAATATAACAAGCTAACGATAGCATAAATAAGTCATTGTTCACTTAATTATTGGTTTGGTGACAGAAACATTACTCATATTTAGCCTCCGTATATACGATTTATAAATCATTTCTACATGGTCAAATTTCATTTCAACCACACATTCCAATGGATCCACTAGTACAATTTATTTATCCACCACTCATTTCTATTCAATTTATAGATTAAACCATTTATAAATTCTTATCAAAATGGAGTATAAAATTTTAAACCATCTAAAAAAACAAAAGCGTCTGAACTGTACGATAAATTTCACATGGCCCACTTGACGGAAAACAACAACATGCATTAATTTTTATAGAGAATTATGTCCACCTTTAGAAATATTATTAACTATAGAAAGTGAAACCTCTTTTTCTTAATATCAATTACAATAAGAATACAATGAATTTATTGGAGAAAAATGACCTCCTTGAATCTAAATTAACACCTAATATACCAAAAATAAACATTCACTACTATAGAATACAAAGATAACACTAGAAATAAGGGATTTAGAATTGAAATTCCACTCTCCTTGAAGCTGGGGCATAGATGTTAATCATTCCCACCTTGGTGATCAAGGCTTCAAAATTAGTTCTTAGAAGATCTTTAGTAAGAATAACAACAGTATGAAGACAATTAGAGTACAAGTCATTTTGATTATTCTTTCCTCAATCCTCTCATTGATGAAGTGACGGTCAATCTTCATATGCTTAGTTGTGTCATGATGAACTGGGTTCTTTGCTATATTTATTGCAGCTAGATTGTCACAAAACATCTCCATTAACTTCTCAGAAGGAATCTTTAATTCTTCAAGTATCCTTCTGATATGCCACCTATCAAGTATACCTATGCTAGAAAAAACAAGAAGGATTGAGAAGCAACTAGAAGAAGGGGCAGCAACAGAAATCTGTTACAAGAGCAAGTGGGGGGAAATTAGTTAAGAAATCCTTATAAATAGATGTAGAAGGGAAGGTAGAAAGTAGGCTTTTATTGAGTGAGTAGGGAGACCTTTAGTAGAGTTTTAGCCCTCTCGAATGATTATTTGTTATTTCCTTTCTTGCTGTAATTTCTTTTAATTCAATAAATATATTGTTGTTCCTTTGATTCTTACACAAATCTGCCCCTTTTTCCAATTAGAACCTTGTCAAATGGTATCAGAGCACATCGATCTGTTGGCCCAGATGAAGATAGAAAGTAGAGTGGAAATCATGGAAAGGGAGATGAAGAAATTGAAAATGGAGATGCAACGCCTTCCCAAATTGGAAAAATTTGTGGAACGCCTTACACAGAATATGTCCAAGATGATGCAAACAGTGGAGGCAACCCAGAAAATTGTGGTAGCCTTCATCCATCCGAAAGCAGAGATGAGTAGAAAGGTTGAGGGAGAGGGATCCGGAATCCTTACAGAAGAACGGATTCCAACGAGCCCATTCCGGACCAATCACCAAACACAAGATAGAGGAAAAGCACAGGAAGAATCAGGTGAAGCTACTTGTGGGAGAGTCCCGATGGCGATCGGTCAAGGCATACATGGGAGATCAGTGGTAGGGTTCCAGCACTCATTGGAAGCTTTGGCTGCACCTACGCCGGATATCACAGAGGGGGTGTTGGAGGGAACATTTATAAATGGATGGGCCAAATAATTGAAGATTGGAACAACTTAAAAGCTGGAAGGGAGAATTCAGCCCAAAAGGCCATCAAATTATTTCCAGCCCCAAATCAATGGGAAGGAAGGAAAGCGGAACCCTTCCCTATGAGAAATACACAGTTGGCTACCAAGGCAAAAATATACTGGAACCCTGTCAATTGGTAATTTTAGGGGAAGCTGAAATTGATGGCGTGGAGAGACAGCCCTTTAACCTATTTTCTGGTGCAATGATGCCAAGGCTGCAAGGAAAACGATTGAGCCATAAGTGGCGGGAGAAGAATCCCATTGGGTAAAAGGGGCTGCCAAATTTCTGAAGCCTCCTGGGAATCTGTTGCGACCCTTAAACATCAATTCCTTGATTTCAACCTTGAGGACAAGGTGTATTTGGAACCCCAGGGTATTGATAGGCCACCTATCAAGTATACCTATGCTAGAAGAAACAAGAAGGATTGAGAAGCAACTAGGAGGAGGGGCAGCAACAGAAATCTGTTACAAGGGGTGGTGGAAAATTAGTTAGGAAATCCTTATGAATAGATGTAGAAGGGAGGGTAGAAAGGAGGCTTTTATTGAGTGAGTAGGGAGACCTTTAGGAGAGTTTCAGCCCTCTCGAATGACTATTTATTATTTCCTTTCTTGCTGTAATTTCTTTTAATACAATAAATATATTGTTGTTCCTTTGATTCTTACACAAATCTGCCTCTTTTTCCAGTCAGAACCTTATCACCTTCTCAGCCATATACCTTCACATAGCCCTAAATTTAGCCTCAGCACCACTTCCTGCAACTGCAAAATGCTTCTTGCTTGCCATGGAACAAGATCCCTTAATACATAAGTGCAATAACCAAAGGTGGATGTGGACATTCTATCTCTAACTGAACCAGTGCAATTATCATCTGTACGTTTATGGTCGACAAAAAATTACAAGTTATATTTGGAACCAACAGAACAGATTTTAAGATTAGATTCTTTGAGGGAACATTAGAACCTATATCTTACAGTTTTCAAAGCAAGGCCTATTAAGTGTGGAATATATTAGCATTCCTAGTCATGTGATCATTGGAACCTGAGTCAATTGTCACGGAACATGATTTTTGCATTTTGACATTAAGTGCACCTAATAATTTACATTTTTGTGCAATGGAACCAGTTCCAATGATAGTGCCAAATGAACTAGGTTGAGAAAATATCTTCTGAAGGAGTCTAATTGCTCTTACTACTGAAGAGTGGTTCTTCAGAAGGTAGATGCTCATTTCCAATAGCTATGAAATCACGGTTTTAACATTCAAAAGGTGGTTTTGATGGCTCCCAATTAGAAGGTCGGCCATTCAACTTCCAGCATGTATCTCGTTCATGGCCTTGTCTTCAGCAATAGTTGCACGATGGCCTACCATTTTTGTTCGGTTTTTGTTGCCTGATGCGTTGACTCTATGAGAGACAAGCTGAACTTTCAATTGTGACCTAGGTGGTTTGATTTCCCATCATAACCTTCTTCCTATTCTCTTGCTCTCCTCTCTTCAGACTTCAGAGAATGCTTCTTGAATAGATGTTAGAGGTTAGTTCCAAGAATTCTCCCACTCACTCGAAGTTTTTAATGAGACAAAAAAAACTCAAAAGATTCTTTCTTTCTCAACAATTTTCTTGCATTTGATACCATCTCCAGCATAGTCCATTTTGTGTCTTCAAACATATCTTCTTGTTGCTAATGACAGGGGAGAGTACTGAGATACTGATTGATACATAGTGCTCCTTGTCACAGATTGTGTAGAATACTCTTTATCTCAAAGAGTTCAGCTTTATTTTCATAGTTCGAGTTTATATTTTACTGCGTCCCATTTTTTAGAACATGAAATTCTCCCCATTTTCATTATTCATGGGGCTTGTTGTCAATGACAGGTGAGAGTATTGAAATACCGAGTGATACATAGCACTCCTTGTCACAGATTATGTAGAATACTCTATTTCAAAGAGTTCTGATCTATTTTCACAATTGGAGTTAAATTTTACTACATCCCATTTCTCTACCACGCCCCCTTAGAACATGAATTCTCCCCAATTTCATTATTCATGGAGTTGATCAGCCATATTCCATCAGTGGAGACTTTGCAGTGCTCGTAAGATAGTTGTCTTTTACTTTACAACAAAAGAACGTCATAACAGACTGTGACCATTGAAGAAAATTGTGCTCACCTAATTACGTCCTACGATAGGAACAGATTTTGCAAAACCGTACACTTCTTGATTGGAGGTTCCGCATGAAATTTTCTCATCCACCATGCCATACTTGGTAATGAAATTAGGGTTTCAGAAGAGATGGAGATGTGAAATGAATCAAGTGGAATCACGAACTGAACGAGAAGGATTTGCGATAGGTAGTGAACGGAAGAAGATGGATCCGTGATGGGGTAGCGAACTGAAGCATATAGGTCGTGACTGTTGACGGGTCGCGATTTAGGAATGAGATAAATTGCAATGCTAGGGTTTTCGATTTGGTATTCTTGATTGAGGGCTCTAGAGCTTGCAGTTATAGGGTTCGAGCAAAAGAGGGATGCTCAATTTGAAACCTTAATGTTCCAAACCCCAATTTCTAAAACCCTAGTTTGAAGAACATGGCTCTGATACCATGTAAAAAGTGAAACCTCTTTTTCTTAATATCAATTAAATTAATTATACAGCGAATTTATAGGAGAAGAATGACCTCCTTGATTCTTAATTTAGTAAGCCAATTAATTATTAAAACTTAATATAAAATAAACCTTAACTAGTATTAGTATGCAATCAAAGATTACACAAGAAGTAATGAATTTAGAATTGGAATTTACAATAATGGCAAGAATATAGTGAGGAAAAAGAAAGAAGGATGCACAACATCATAACTTGAATGATATACGTAAGGAAAGGGCAGATTTTCAAAACAAATGAGCAAACTGTTCAATAAGTACTTGAAATCTTTACTTTACACATCCCAAATATGATTAACATAGATTTGCAAGTTATGTAAAAAGATATAAGAACTTGCTAGTAATTTATAAAGTAAATCATCAAGATTATGATAGGTTGATATAGTCTATGTTTGATAGGTTAATAAATACAGTGGTATGATCTATGGGTTTGTTTGAGCCCCATTTTTTGGGAGTAGATTTTATAATAGTGATTTTTTTATTTTTTTTAAAAAGTAGTGAAAAGTTTTGGATTTACTTGTAAAATTATTTAAGTGGGAGAATGAGTGGTTGAAAATATGTTTTAAAAAAATGAGTCTTCAAAGAATGAGGCTCAAATAGAGGCTATGTTGCCCAAACTCAGGTACGTGTGTTGAATACAATAGGAGTTGGATCTTTTTTCTTCTAGAACTAAAGACACGGGGATATTGCTAAAAATAATCCAAATTTTGGACGTGAGTACTTACAAATATAAAATGTTTTAGAATATTACATACTAATAATTTTAGATGTATTTTTAAGGAGTTTATCATTAAATGGGCTTGGTTTCATGCCCTCAAAGTCTTGGTTTTATGCCTCAAAATCAATTTTATTCCCTTGAAAATCGTTCGCCCACTCTTTATCTCCTAGCAACTTGTACTTACTCCCATTGTGATCTCCCTTCCATGTTTCTAATGTGTGTACTTTTAGCACCCATTTGGCCCCATTATTTGGGATTATAATTTTTGGAATAGTGTTTTTTTGGAGAATGTGTAGTTGAAAAAGAAGGAAAAGTTTTCGATTTACGTGTAATATTATTTTATGAAATATTGTATGGTTGAAAATAAGAGAATTATAATTTAAAATAATGGGGGCCAAACGGGGCTTAAATTCAAAGATCCAATATGAGATCCATAATTTTGGAATTGTGTTTTTTTGGAGAATGTGTAGTTGAAAAAGAAGGAAACATTTTCGATTTGCGTGTAATATTATTTTATGAAATATTGTATGGTTGAAAATAAGAGAAAATTATAATTTGAAATAATGGGGGCCAAACGGGGGCTTAAATTCAAAGATACCCATACTGATGACATGTTGTGTCAATAGAGGTACATAGTCCAAACTAAAGAGTCTGAGCATCATAAGGCACAATACAACAAGAAAGTGACAAACTTCAAATCATTAAGTATTTTGGCCTAGATCTCACAAACTTCGGCACTTCCACGCTTATACTCGTAGAGCTTCAAAAGTGGAGTAATATACAGTAGCCTTGTGATGCTCAGACTTGGCATTCCGATCGGCGTGTTGCCCATGTGAACACGACTTGGGTATGAAATATGAGACGGGTCCTTCAATTTACAAACGGGTATAGCAATTGTAATTAATTATGTCATTTTTAACTTTATTTTAATTTTGTACTTTTGTCATGTAAATTTATGTTGTTTTAGGCGTTTGACTTTTAGTATAAGTTTCTAGTTGGTTTTAAGAGGCATGCTCTATTTTTTAACAATTTAAGACTAAATTATTATTTAAATTTTTACATGTGAACTTCTAGAAAAAAAAATAAAGTGTGAAAGACGTTCTTACGTATCCGTGCCCGAAATTTGGACTCTTTTTAACTATGTTCCCGTATCCTACATTTTAGAAAATAAAAGATTTGATACTTAGATAGGTACCCGTATCCGAGTCCGAGTATCATAAGACCATCCCTGCGTTAATTATTCTGTTCTTATTCAAGAAAACAAATGGTATACTACATTCCTATGCTGGCATTGGTCATTTCATTTAATGTTGACCTTCACACGCAACCAAATCAGTAAACTGGATAGCTGGATTCAACAGATTAATTAAAGCCACCTTTTAGTAGGACGAGACTTAATCTCCGACTCTTTCTCCAGTCCAATTTTATCATTCAAGCCCAACTTCAAGTCAGGCATTCCAGAAAGGAAGCATTTCATGAGAATCTTCCCAGTTACATCACAACGTAGGACACTACCTAAAATTGTCAAATGGGAAACAAGGAAACAAAGGTGAAATTGTCGACTTGAAAAGGAGAAACATGAGTAGAAATGCATCGACTAAATTATTCGTAAACATGATATTTTACCTTTAGAAGACATAAGAAGATTAACACTTTCGATGATATCAAGAAATACCTGTCAAGAATTATAACTTAATCCAGTATAAATTGAAATACTTGTAGCATGCTAAAGTAATAGTATAGGTGGGGAGAGGCTACCTCGTTCTTCTTATAGACAAGACCTTCCCTCCGCCAACCAACAGCACCAGTTACTTGCAAAGTAGCATTCGGAACTGGTTTGTCTGCAGGCTGTTTTTTGTTGGCAAGGCTAAAGAAGTCAGGATAGTTGATGGACCACAGTGGAACACAACAGAGAGAAAGGAGAGGAGAGGATAATTGTAGAGGAAATGGGAGAATTCTAGTGAGAGAGACACTGAGAGAAGTTTCAACGATTGTAAATACAATAGAGGAAATTTGAGAAATTCTAGTGAGAGACACAGAGAAGTTTCAATAATTGTAAATATAATAGTTAATGCCTGATTTGTTCAAAAACAGTAGTCTTATATGTATGTAAAATTCTCAGTCCTTAGAGACTAATAGTAATATAAAAGAAAATAAATTAATATTATGCTTTCTAATTACTCCTAAAATGAGTAGTTTAGGATTATAATACCCATATACAATAATGTATACTTTTTCAGTTAATGCCTAAATCAAGCGAGTAAAATAGGATTGATGGGTTGTAATATCCATAATGAGTGTAATATCAATCGATAGTCCTCCCGTCGAAATTCAAGATTATAAATAAATTAGAATTATGTGTCTTTTCAAATTGTTATTTCCATTGTTACGTATATACAAAGAGGGAGTCATGTCAAACATATACCTTGGATGAAAATGGTGAGCGTACACCTTCCTGAGTTATGTAAAGCTTCAAGATTTCAGGTGAAAGGTTTTGAGGGTAACCAAAATCCATTATTTCTGCAATTCAAATGCAATATTAGAGAAAACATTACACTGGTGCAACCGCCTCTGCAAGCACTTTTGAGTGACCTAATAAGTAAAATAGCCTTCTACATGCAGAATTATACTTTCATTAAAGTGTACATAAGATCTCAGCCAACAGATCTAACATGCACTAGTGAGCATTTTGTGCCAAATGATGCTAAATGTAGATCCAGCTCCAGTAAGGAAAGACTAGCACATACAGCTAAGACAACAAAGGTAAATTATGTTTCAGAAAACGAGACTCTTACAGGTACTAAATGAACCCTCATAAGAGAAGAGGGGATGCAGAGTGATATATAGCCTATGTTTGTTGTTGCTTAAAAATTTGATAAAAATCTAAATCAAAATCAACAATTAATTTTAATCACACCCACCAACTTTTTCAACCATAAATTTCATCAACTTTTATCAAAATCTACTAAAAATCCGATTTTTAGTTACACCAAACAAGGCCATAATATACGTTTTGACAATTACACATCTCTAAGAAAAATATTACGTTCAAAGTCAAATTTGACAGCTCATATACTTCCATTTTCATTAGAAGTTAAACACAAAAGAAGAATTTTGGTATCCATAAAACAAGATCTAGTAAATACTCTCAAAGTAGCATACCATCCAACAGTTCATATATTAAAACGAAATTATTGCGGATAGCATCTTCATCGAAAGCACCACCGAAATAAGATTTAAACAATGCAACTGCCTGCCAAAAAAGTTGATAGAAGGGTCAAATAACATAAGAGATATGCTATATAATAAGCACAGTCAAAAACTTCATCAAGAAAAGCACTAACTTAGCCTCCCTTTTGGGAAAAATTTATAAATATATAGTGTGGAAACATAGCTGTATTTCCATTCATAGAATCTGTCGAGATTCATAGTATATGGTTTGGTCAATAATTGTGCAAATGGGGAGTAGATTATGGAGCACTCATGGGGATTGTTTAGCTATAGATTAGACAGACTTGTGGGTATATATGTTGATTAGTCCATTTATTTCTTTTCTTTTATAATTGTGTAGCACATGTATTTAAACTGTGCAAATTAATAAAGTAAGAAATTATTTACGTTCTCTTTTCTTTCTTCCAACATGGTTTTGCAGTCCAGAATTTCAGAGCAATTCAGCCTTTGAGGTCAGATCAGCCTATTTCTTAACCAGTTCAGCACATCTCATAGAGGTTCAGCAATTTTAAGTCAAGTTCAGCCTATTTTCAGTCCAGTTAAAATGTTTTTGAGGCTAGTTCAGATGGATGTTAATCAGGTTCAATTGTTTTTGGCAGATCTATTATTCTGACCATTTTACACCGATTTAGACTGTGGCATTAAAACTTCTCATAAACCTACCACGTTCGAAAAAATAATTGATTGTATCCATAATGTCTCATATAACCATCTCCCAACAAGCCTTATAGAATGAGAATGAGAACCCGTCCGGTCCAGGGGCCTTATCATCATTCATATTAAACACCACATCCCTAACTTCATCCTCCTCAAATGGTCTCTCAACCCAACTAGCATCCTCTTCAGTGATAGTGAAGAAATCTAGCCCCTCCAACTCAGGCCTCCACGTAAACTGCTCCCGATAGAGATTCTGATAAAATCGCACATGCTGAGTCACAATATCTTGTGGGTCCTCGTGCGTAATCCCATCAACCTCCAACAATGTAATAGAGTTATTGCTCCGGTTGGAATGGCGACTCGATGAAAGAACTTTGTGCATTTGTCACCCCCCTTCAACCACAAAACCCTAGACTTCTGTCTCCACGCGATCTCCTCCATCTCCACCAATCTCTCCAACTCTCCCCTTAACCTTCCACGCCTCTCTCTTTCCTCCCCATCCAGCCCTCGACTTCCTCCTGCCTATCCAACTCCCCTATGTCTGACAAACACTGATTCTTACGAACGTCAATGTCTCCCACCAACTCCCCATTCCACTTCTTTAAATCCCCTTTCAAAGTCTTTAATTTCTGATATAAAACATAACTAGGAGACCCCCTGAAATGATAAGAGGCCCACCAGTCCGAACTCGCTCCCCAAAACCCTCAACTTCCAGCCACATCTTCTCAAACCTAAAAGGTCTTCTTCCACTACCCCTTCCAATCCCAGATAACGAAATAGGAAAATGGTCTGAGTACACTCTCCCCAATCTCATCTGAGTGACATCAACGTACTTAGCCTCCCACTCACCACTAATCAAGAATCGATCAATCCGCGATTGAACAGGTTGATCGCGATTGGATGACCAAGTAAACTCTCCCCCCATCATGGGCAAGTCCACCAACATATTTTCACTAATAAAATCAGAAAAATCCTCCATAGCCCATGTTAATCTCCCTCCACTCGACTTCTCAGAAGGAAACCTAACAACATTAAAATCACCCCCAATGCACACTAGTAAGTTCCACTAAGCCATCATACCAGCTAATTCATCGCACATGCCCCTTCTATCCACATCTGAGTTTGGCCCATAAACTCCAATAAACATCCACTTAAATCTATCCCCAACATTACTAAAGGAAAGTGATAGAGAAAATAACCCTACACTAACCTCCTCCATTTCAAACATTCTACTGTCCCACATGATAAGCACGCCTCCTGATGCCCCTGAGGCTCCAAGAAACTGATACCCAACATGCTATCCCCCCCATAAAGAACTCACAACAGCCCTCGAAATGACCTCTAACTTCGTTTCTTGTAAACAGACAAGATCGACCCGCCATCCCCTTAACAAGTTCCGTACACCTAACATTTTCCCAACTTCGTTGAGCCCCCGCACATTTCAGCTAATGATTTTTGGGATCATCTAAACTCTCCTTCCTTCCTCCCTCCCTGACAACCCTCTCTTTGACTCACCCCCTTTAACATCATAGTTTATCGACCATTCAAGCCGCTTAAGTTCACGGTTCCCTTTTCTTCTTGCTCTTCCTCCTGGTGAACACCACATGTCCCCTACGTGTCTCCAACTCCTCAGACAAGTGCAAAAGGTTATCTTCATACCCATCACAGGACATACCCACCATCTTGCCGAATTCCTGAATTTTATGGAGAACCCAATTTGAAACTGGAGGTCTAACATCAAGCGCAATAACTTTTACTATCTCCCCTGCATTGCAACATTCAATAGGCTCAAAGATCTGTCATTTCCCCTCCTCCACCCATGCTGTACCCTCGTCCAGTATTCCTTTTTTGTCGCACTCCTCCCACACTACTATTGCTTTGTCGTTCCCCAATACGTTTTCATTAAGAGACTTAGAATGCCTCCTAATTTAAGTGTTCACAATCATAGTAGTCAAGCCTGTCACCACTTGCTCTTGTGTCGGTGCCGGACTTGATTCCTCTGCCATCACTAATTCGATCACTTTATCTGTCAACCCAACTCCCTCTACAGCTGTGATCATATCTCCCTCAATCACAGTTGCCTCGTTCTTCTCAAAAGGCTCATTCAGTGCCATCATCACCGTACTCTTTGTTCTCTCATACCGCGGGTCTTTTCCATCCATATCCATCCCCATAATCTCTTCTCCCTCGTCATCTCCACTACACTCCACATCATACCGTACCTGATTCCCTCTGGTGGGCTCAATCATCACCTACGGTTCTTTAATTTGAAACGAGTTTGATTGTATCTCCTTAGCCGGATACTCAGACATACCAGCCCCGCACTTATGACAACAAATCATCTTGGAGGCCTCTAGAGCGCCACCTCCCAGTAACCTCAACAATTCATCCACCTCACCTTTCAATCCCTGACACGAGCCCTTATTTCATCATTACTCAATGAACTGTCTAGAGCACCTTCTGGCGTTATCTCCTTCAGCTTATGCTTCAAAGGATGACCCTCGCTATCCTTTTGTAACGGCACTGGCTTTTTCGTGTTCTGCTCGACCCGTCAGTTTGCAATAACTGCAGCATATGTCCTCCCTTGTTGAATGTTGATGTTAACCTTTTGACGCTTCACTTTGTCTCAAAATCGACAACTGCCTGAAACGTTCGCTGCATCGATGCCCATCCCTCTCCGTTCGCACCTTCCGGTACCATCACCACTCATTTACGACGCCTCTCCCCATATTGTGCTATCGTCAGATACCTGCCTCGATTGTTACCACAACGCTGCGCCATAAAAGCTCTCGATGACTCTGTAAACTTAGCAATAAACTCCTCTTGCTTGCTCGCCCCCCTCACTTTATCCATCATATTCAGCATCCACAAGGCACCAAACCTCCCCATATATATTACATTCGATGTCCTCGGTCCCCATTCGGTCAACCTCACAATGCCAGATTCATTAATAGACACAAAAAATTCCTTTGCTTCCACTCCAACTCGAAGATGAAATTCCTTCGTACCAGACAAATCCGCATGCCGTTGAAATGGTGCATCTGACAGTAGAACGGAGGGTTGGAATGACCTGGGCAGAACACGCACATGTTGCTGTCTGCCGGTCGCCGGCGCGTGGGCCGCACGCACTGCCGGAGCGCCGTCTGGTAGAGGCGCCGCTATCGCTAGGGTCGGAATGCCCTGGGCTATCGTCCGGTCAGGCGCGTGGGCCCTGTCGAGGACCGAATCACGGGGTAAATCCGGTTCTAGGGTGGCGGCACTAGGGTTTGCACCTAGGGCAGCCGCCTGCGTGTGTCTTCCATGGGCGAGATGGCCATGGTTTGCTGGCGTGAGGCCAATTTGTGGTGGTGGAGGTGGTAGGCTGGTGGGTTTGGATGTTGAGGGAGAACTCTCCATACGGGAGAGAGCGTGCGAGAAAGGGGCGTCAGTACGTGTATTGCATTTGCAATTACAATGTAAGAAAATTTATGCGTCTCCTAGTGAAGTTCACATGGAGGTTTTTTTAAAAATTCTACAATATCTAAACGTTCTCTAGGCAAAGGTGTGCTCTTCTCAAAGAATCATCTTCTTCAAGTTGAAGCTTATATAGATGTTGATTGGATCTTCAAATTGAAGCTTATATACATGTTGATTGGGCTGGTTCTAAGAATGACCGAAGGTCCACATCTGTTCATTGTACATTTGTTGGCAGGAACTTAGTTACTTGGAGAAGTAAGAACAAAATATGGTGGCATGCTAAAGATAAATTCAGAGCAATGGCTCAAGAAATAGGTGCCTTATTGTGGTTAAAGATATTGATAACTATTTGTTCAAGACGATGAAGTGATGCTACATTGTGATAACAAATCTGCAAATCAGCATTGCTCACAAACCTATGTAGCACGATGGGACCAAACATGTTGAAGGGAATTTTATCGAAAAAAAGATTGAAAACAGACAAATTTGTATTCCATTTGTTTCTAACACCAAACAATTAGACGATGGTCTTACCAAAGGGCTACCAAGACCTATTTTCTATTCAAGTGTTAGTAAGGTGGGAATAATGAGGAGTGGAAAAATAGTTGTAATTAGCTGTATTTCCATTCTTAGAATCTGGTTTGGCCAATGATGCCTAAAACTAAAAGATGACACTAGCATCTTCATTTCTCCTACACAGCATACATATTATTAAGATTTTCGAAACCACAAAAATCTCTTCAAGCAAACTAACCATAATAGGATGAAAAATTTATTTTCAACCACAAGTGTCTGGTTCAGAATTATATGCTTCAGCATTAAGGATACCTCGACAACAAACTTGAATGCACAAGAAACATTAGCATTGCTGCTGACAACAATCACGATGTAGACATTGCTGATCCTCATGTAAAAGAAAGAGCAACCACCAATCTGCCGCACAGGACAAATGCCAAGTTCTTTCGTTTGCATTATATGCGTTCGGAAAGCATCCACCATATTGCCTCTGATTAATTTTACGAAACAAACAGTAAGACTACAAAGCATTACATCATAGAAAATTTAGTTAAATAAATGCAAGTAAATGAAGCCCAAAATGAGACAATCAATGTAGTTCAAGAAACTGATATCAACATAATTTCAAGAAACCATCTCCCTTCAGTTTTGAGAAAGGGAAGAGGAGAAAATTGAAACTTCTGGAGCAGTAGGGAAGGAAATGTTCAGTAATTGCATCACGTATTAAGTTTCTAAAAGTATTAAGTTTCTAAAAGTACTAAGTTTTAAATTTTCTCTTCTCTTCCCCTCAAAACAAATACAGCCTTAAGACGTTGCACTAATTGGCATTTACAGAAGAGTAATGCTTGACATCAATATCACAGAGAGAGAGAGAGAGAGAGAGAGCAAACACTGGAGGGATGGAGAAACATATTCATCAAGGGCTAGAAATTACACAATCGGAAGCAAACTCTAGAAAAGAATCTAAACACTTTAGGCAACTTGGTCGAGTAGTTTTCTTGAAATCATACTGTCAAATCTAGCATTGAGTTAGCCATGTTAACAGTGCATTTGAATGAAGATAATTTAAAGAAAAGAGAATTGGTGAACACTGATATGAAAGTTTTATAAAGAAAGACGAAGACAAATGTGATAACTGCTCAGTGCTCAACAGCTTCATTTTCCCAAGGGTCAAAAGAGTAAAAACATAAAGGATAGTTCGGTAGGTGCTTGTCAATGAGAACTATCACATCAAACTGTTTAAGGAAATGACAGAGATATACAATCCACAGAACTAACAAAACAGTATACTGCTTCCAGTTTTAAAACTTACAAGCTCCAAACAAGGGACCAATTGTTGGATAGTATTTAAAGCCTTTCTTCTGTAACTTTAGAACTAACAAAACAGTATACCACTTCCAGTTTCAAAACTTGCAAGCTCCAAACAAGAGACCAATTGTTGGATAGTATTTAAAGCCTTTCTTCTGTAACTTTTAATAAAAACAAACAGGAATTTTCTCCTTCTCTTCTCCATTAAGGATCTCTTCTTTAGTTTACAAAACTTTACCAAATAAGGTGTCAGATTAATAAGACCATTGATTCTTTCATTTGAGTACTCGAACCAAGCATGTGAAGAACTAAATTTCGGTCAAATTTAAGTAATAAATCGATCATCGTGTCAGAAACTGAAACTTATTAGAATTGGAAAAAACTACTACGGAGGAAATGGTATTAGAAGAACTCCAAATAGTAGTTGATAATTTGACATTATACATTGTTGAATATTTAACTTCTAGAAAACTTTAATTTTTTATCCCAAAAATTAAAGGATTCTCCTATATGTAGTAACTCAGTTTACTTTTCACCAGACTAAATTATCTTACGAAGTAACCAGTAATCACATCTCTTGTTATTTAACTTCATAAAGCCTACTAAAGGTGCATAAAACTCTATATTTGTGTCACCCATTTGTCATTTTTACATGAAATTAGAGGTTTATATTTGAAGTGAAAGCAAAAGACAAGGAAATTTAGATTTATTTCCATCCAAATTTCATTGCCAAACAAACACAACTTAGATCGATTAGCTTTGCTTCCCATCTATTTTCTCCATCTTCCTCTATTACATTTCAAATGAAGAAAAGGGTAGTTCCCCAAATCACAGAAATCAACAATATACTCCAGAAATTAATATTTATATATGCGGTTATATAAAAGAGAAAACAAAAGGATAGGTTCTGCTGACCCGACATCATCACGATAGAGGCGATTGATGAGAACATCACCACGAAGATTGAGGAAGTAAATAGCAGAAGCTGCTACCGGCATCCTTAATATCCCAAGAACTCAGATCTAGTTACGAGGGTAATCTACTACTGTCAATCAATGGGAATCGAAACGAAACAAAGACACAAAAAATGCTCGTCGATAGCTAAGCCCTTGTTTGACTCTCTCCCCTGACAACCATTTCGGTAAAATGGACAGTTTTCAATAGTAATTATACGAACAAGTTATTTCGGTAAGCTTGTTTTGTAAAAATTAAAATCGAAATTTAATTTAAATCAAAATTAAACCATCAATATTAACGACATCTTTTATGAGTCTCACAACTTTTCAACTATATATTTCAAAAACTTCTATCAAAATTTACTAAAAATCTAATTTTAATCCCCACCAAACACCCCAAAATATTTTATTAACTTGTTGAAAATTAGGCATTTTTTGTTTATGATTAAAATCAGATTTTAATTTAAATCAAACAATTAATATTAATCACATTTTTCATGGGTTTCATAACTTTTCAACCACACATTTCAAAAACTTCTATCACAATCTATTAAAAATCTGATTTCAATCATCACCAAACACCCACTTAGCATATAAAAAAAATTAAAATAATAATAGTCATACTCTTTTTTAATCAGTCATTCAGACAATAAAATAATTTGCATATAAACTTAAAACCTTTTTTTATATTTTAACCACGCATCCTTCAAAAAAACCTATTCAAAATATAAAAACCATCTAACAAGGGCTAAAAGCAAAAATCTTTTATCATTAATTTCATGTGAATGTTTCGATTTTTTTAATGGTTTTTTGTGTTTCAATTCTCAGACGGTAAGTTATAAGTTTGCAGTGAAGAAAACTCTAGAATTGAACGAAGAGAGAAAAGTAGCAGGAACTTATGTAATTTCTACTCAAACTGAACTAAAGTATACCAATACATATATGTACATGAATGCAGCTAACTAACTCTTACAACAGAAAGAAAATGTATAAAAACTTAAATATCCCTGCTAACGTGGCTCAATAGTACCTCTCAAGATTGAGAATGTATATCTAATATCCCCGTCTTGTTTAACAATGATTTGAATCTGGCTCACCCTGAAGGCTTACTCAGCAAATCTGTCACTTGATATTGTGACACCATATGCAGCAACTTCACTTCTCATGCTTGCACATTATTCTTTACAAGATGGGGAATGTATATCTAATATCCCCATCTTGTTTAACAATGATTTGAATCTGGCTCACCCTAAAGGCTTACTTAGCAAATCTGTCACTTGATATTGTGACACCATATGCAGCAACTTCACTTCTCGTGCTTGCACATTATTCTTTACAAAATGGTAATTGATTTCTATGTATTTTGTTCTTTCATGAAACATAAGATTTCTGGCTATATGTATGGCAGATTGATTATTATAAAATAATATCCTACTCTAGTAAGTGTAACACTTAAGTCATTGAGTATATTCTTCAACCAGCTCAATTCACTATAGCTACCATAGATCGATATTCCGCTTCAACTGGGGATTTTGAAACCGTGAGTCACTTCTTAAATTTCCAAAACACTAGTGAATTCCCCATAGATATGCAGTAACCAATAATGGATCTTCTTATATCTGAATATGCTGCCCAATCAGCATCACAAAATCATTTGAGATGTAAATCAAATTTACTTTCAAAGAATAAGCCTTGTCCAGTTGTACCCTTCAAATATCTCAACACGTGATGAGCTGCTACTAAATGAAGTTGTTTTGGTGACTGAAGAAATTGACTAAGAACTTGCACTATATATGACAAATCATGCCTTGTAATTGTCAAGTATAGGATCCTTTCCACTAGTCTTCGGAATATACTCGCATCTGCAATTGTTTCCCCTTCATTCTTACTCAGCTTCAAGTTATGTAGTAAATGACTATTTGCTAGTTTGACTCCAAGATAACCAGCATCTAGCAATATCTCCATTGCATATTTCATTTGATAGATAGATATGTCTTTTGAAGTTCTTGCCACCTCAAGTCCTAGAAAATACTTCAGAATCTCCAAGTCTTTTAGTCTGAATTGTTCATTCAATCCCTTTTGAACTACTCTATGTAAGATAAGTTATTACCACCTATGATAATATCATCTACATAGATAAGGAGCATAGTGAATAAGCAGCCATCTTGTTTGCTGAATAAAGAGTAATCAGATCTTAATTGCCTAAAACCTTGTGATAGAATGTATGAAGTTAGCTTAGCTTGTGTTTGACACTCATTTTGGGGAAAAAATGAATTCTGGAATAGTAATTGATGAAAGAATGTGTGGTTTAAAAAGTAATGAAAAGTTTTAGATTTGTGTGTAATATTATTTTATTTGGAGAATGTGTGGTTAAAATGAAGAAAAAGAAAAAAAATGAGAATGAGTGTCAAACAATGCCTTAGTATTTCATTGCCTTGAAGCCTATTTGAGTCCATAGATGGACTTGTTTAACTTGCAAACTAATTGTTTTTCATTCTCCCCCTGTTGCTCATAACTTGGAGGCATCAACATACATACCTCTTCATCTAGCTCATCATGAAAAAATGCACTGTTAATATCTAGCTGATAAAGATGTGACTATTTTTTAGCTGCAACAGCTAGGAGAGTTTTCACGATGACCAATTTAGCAACGGGTGAAAATGTTTCCTCATGGTCTAGGCTAGGTTGTTGGCTGAAACCTTTAGCTACAAGTCGAGCATTCTTCATTTCCTTTGTGCCATCTGAATTAAGCGTAACTTTGAAAACCCATTTGCAGGCCACTGGTTTTTTATGTACAAGAAGCTTGTCAACAGTCCAGTTGTTATTAGAGACGAGAGATTGGTACTCTGTATCCATGGATTTAAGATTTTTACCAATCTAGATGCTTAGAGGCTTCAGCATAAGACTGAGGTTCATATACAATGGACAAGGCTCGTGTGTAGTTTTTTTGTGTAGTAAACAACATGCCATAGCCCAAACAGTTTAAGATAAGATACTGTTTTCCATATTTAGAACCTTTTGCTGTGGAATCTGACTAAGAAATAGGCATTTGAGACACCAAACTACAATGATAATCTTGGAGATATGATGGAGTTCGCTTAGGCCCACTAGATTTGTGGATAGGTATGATATGTGGTGAGAGAGATAACACGGGAGAAGTTATTTCAGATAAGGTGATAAGTGTATTTTATACACTTATTTAGGTCATTAAATCAAAGTATTTGTTAGTGATTTGGATAAGTTATAGCTTAATTTTGTGTTAATTATGTTTGTTAGGTTGAACTTAATGCAATTTGGTGGATTTGGAAGAAAGGAACAAAAAACGTGCGAAAACGAAGGAAATCCAAAGTTTGGGGACCAAAGTGTAAACATCCAATAGATGATTCGGACCAAAAAACGATAATACCCCTTTTTCGGATAGAAAACGCTCGAATTGGAAATATTGTATTTCTATAAGAATTGTTTCCCTTTGAATTATATTTCCAACGCATTTTGAATCAATTCAATCGAATACCTGTAGAAAACGTGATGGTCAAAATATCAAAACTGCTCAGAGATGAACCTGTGCGCGCAGGCAATTCATGGTGCGCGCAACACCTTATTCTCTCCAACCTGAGA